CCCGTGCACATGCGGCGCGTGTCCCCCGCGCCTAGTCTCCCTCCCGCCGGGAAGGAGCCGCAGCCGCGAGCGGGAGGGAGAGGCGTGGGGCTCCCCAGCAGCAGCGGGGATTCGGCCCACGCCCCCGCGCCGCCCACCCAGCCCCTGCCCGCTCCGCGCTGCCCCCGACCGGACCCACCGCGCTGCCCTGTGGGCTGCAGGGCTGGAGCAGCCTCCAGGCTGCGCTCCCAGCCCCGGGTGCAGCAGCCCGGGCAGAAGCCCTCTGGTGCGGCGGGGGGGCTCACAGCTGAGCCCCCCCGTCTCCCTCCCTTGTCAGCCCCCCTTTGCCCGCCCAGTGCCCGGGTGCTGGAGCTGACTCACCAGCTCCAGGATCCAGGCACCGTTGCCACCCCCTCCCTCCAGGCTTGTGCAGCCATGCTGCAAGCCTGGGAGGGAGGAGGAATGCGTGGTTGGGGAAGAGGCGGGGCCAGGGCGGGGATTTGGGGAGGGAGCCAATGGAGGAAGGAGAGGGAAGAGCTGGGGAGGGGGGCGCGAGTGCCAGAGTGGAGGGCAAAATTTCTTTTTTGTCCAGTGTCCCGACCAAACATTGGTCGGGACGCGGGACAAAGAAGCAAATATCGGGACCGTCCCGATAAAATTGGGACGTCTGGTCACCCTAGGATGGTACCACACTGAGTGTGCCTGGGGTCAGGGAAGGATGCACATCATCTCCCCCTACTGCCCTATGGAGACACCTTGAAAAAGTGATGTAGCCTAGTGCTGTATCATCTGTTCTGCACAGCATTGTCCATGGTGACTACTCACATTTAAGGGAATCCCTAATCTAGCTGCAGTCACAGGGAGTCACTAGTAACGAAGCTCCCTCAGAGCCCTATTGCCAGGAAGCAGGGATGTGAGGTTGCTGGGGGCACAGAGTGAGTCCATGTGATCCTGGCCATCACAGATCCCTGGAGATCCTCGAGATATGGTCTAATCATGATTTTTAAAGGTTAACAGGAGCAAACAACACACCCTCAGGCTTTCTGGGGCCTTGTGCAAAATCAGACAGGCAGTGCCTGAAGCATGCTTCCACAGCCTACCCTGTGTGGAAGACTGTTAGCTTTTGGGATTGGAGGAGGATTATCTTGGGGCAGGATGGTTTAGGAGGATTTGTTTTGGGGGTCAGATAGGCTTTATTACTAGGGAGAGGGAGGCTTTTTCTGGGTTAGCTGCATGGAGAAAGCAGCCTGCCTTTCTCCTCCGTGCACTTTGAGGTTGCTGAGAGCAAGGCCCTGTGCAGAGGCACCCTTTGTTGGCTATGATTAGCCAAGATGTCTTCATATAATCATAAAAATTAGAGATGGGAAAGTCTATTAGGTCAATCCAGTCCATCTCCTTGCCAGTGCAAGATTGTTCCTTAGATATCACTTTCAAACTGCTACATCTTTACATTATATAAGATTTGTTTAACTCCAGGGTACAGAATTACTAATGATATATTTTAAATCTATTAACACAATGGGCCAAAATCAACCCTGGAGTAACTCCACTGGGGACAAACAAACAAACAGTTACACCAAGGCTGAATAAAGCCCTCTTTAACTATAAAAATTACAAACACTATGTCCACTATGATTTTATAGCCTATATGGGAAAATATTCTAGAGCGGCAAATATGAGCATATGCATGAATACACACAACTGCTGATCAATACTTTAATGCCTTTAGGTCTCTTAGTTGTTACCGCAACAGAAGAAATTCTTGTACCTTAATGTGATTTCTGAACATGCACACAAAAATGTGCTGCACTATCACATCAAGTAACACCTTGTCAAATATGATGTATATTCTTCTGCTGGTGGTACTCACCCTAAATGGCTGGTCTGGAATAAATGGAAAGTAAGGAATTGATGATTGTTCTTCGCCCCATTCGCCAGATACACAAGCGTTTCTGAGGAACTGTTTGTCTGTAAATACAGCTTTCAGTTCAATGGCTACATCCGCAGGAGGATCTTCTGATTCCCCACATGTCAGACTGATGTCAAAGCTGAAATAGGAATAAAACTGCTCTCACTTGGCAAGAAAGAAGCAAACAAATCCAAAATGCAGCACGCCTGATTTCTAAGCTTATTCAACAAGCAAATCTGAACTGGTAATGGGAAACTGCTAGTCCCCAAAGTTGAGAAAGGGACCAAGACACAATATACACTCTGCTCTTATATTAAATTGTGTCCTCCTTTAAAATGTTGGGAAACAACGATCCTTTTAAGAAATGCCCCCTCTATGGGTCAAAGGAGAAATCAGCACTCTATAATCTCTGATAAAAATAGCTGTCTTCAGAAATGATGCATGTTTTCGGGCAAATTCTTGTCATGGGAACGTAGTACTTTCTTGGAGCTCTTCGTTGGGAAAATGCAGACAGGACTGGAGCAGCCCTGCCAACCAGAAGCAAGCTCTGCCTCTGTGTTATTACCTCTCGGGATTGAGATCCACCATGCCCATAACTAAGATCTTCTTTCCTGGCCTCATTCCTCCTTTGATGTGTCCACAAAATGGGACAATCTGTAAAAGAACAGCAGGGAATCAGAGGGAGGAACCCTCAAGCTGGAACCAGACTGGGCCAAATCCAGACCACAAGCACAATTATAGGAAAGGGAGGGGTAGCAAGTCAAAAATCATTTACCAGCCGTGGAAAATACACATCTGCTTGCACTGGGGATCCCAAGGAGTTGTTTAAATGCCCGTCCTCTATTTTCTAAAGACAAAACGAACACACACTGAGACAGAGAAACCACCGCTCCTTCTGTGCATTTATTACCGAGCCTGCCTGTGATTAGGACGGTCTGCAGCAAATAACAGCTTGGGGACGTCTCTCTGCAGCTTGCCAATTTAATTTCAAGTCACCTCCTCGAGATGGTCCATATTCCGAACTCCTTTGCAAAACAAAGGGTGTTTCCTGCTCTCCGAGGGGGCTTCTCTTAACTTCCCAGGAAGGGCTCGGGCTCCAATTCAAAAGCCAGATGTGGAGCCCAGGCAATATTTAGCTATGCACATAGTCTGTCCCCCGACCCCACCAACGTCCAGCTGCATGCAGGAGCATTCACAGACACACCAATCTCTTCCACCTGGCGGGGGGAGGGGGAGAGCCACAGCAGGGGATGGGTTGCCTCCCCCCATTCAGCACTCCAGCCCAGCCGCCGCATCCTCCCTGACCATAGCCCACCCATAAGCCGCAGACAGCCGGGCCGATTTACGGGAGGGGGGGTTGCTGCACCAGCCCTGGCTCTGGTGCCGCTAACAGGTATGCTGGAGACGCAGCGGCCGGTGCCCGGAGCGGCGCTAGACGCCCAGCGGCTCAGTCCCAGGGGTGGGCGCGCTGCATGGCCCCAGGAGCAGGGCCGTGCCCCCGGCAACAGGCAGGAAACGGGCCACTTACCAGCGCGTCCCTCTTCGCCACGGATCCCGCCATCTTGTTGAATCGGTGCAGTTGTGAAGGCGCAGGCGGCCGGTGCGGGGCTGGATCAGCTGGAGCGGGAAGGGGGGAGGGAGCGGGACGCGCTGGGCTGGGCGCAGCCGGAGCTGATCCGGCCGGGCGAGGGGGCGGGGGCTCGGCGCTGGACCCGGAGCCAGGCGCTCCTGCAAAGGCCGCCGGCTCGCGTGCCCCCAGACAGGCTGGTGCCGCCGCGGTGGCAGCAGCAGGGGAGGTGGCAGCAGCGAAGGCTGCGCCGCCTCGCCAGGCAGGCGGCATATAAAGCCCTGCCCCGGCCGTGGGGCAGCCCGGGGCAGGGGCCGGGTGGGGACTCGGCGAGGTTGTTGCAGCGTGTTCCACTTGCAGCTCTTTGGACGCGGCGAGGAGGGGGCCGGGCGGCAGCGCCGCTAGCTGGGAAGGGGAGGCGAGCAGCTGAGAGCCAACGCCAGGCTCCGGGGGTCGGCGATTCACAGGCCTCCTGCCTAGAAGGAGGGTCCCATGGAGAAGGGGCGCTTGGTTCAGCGCCTTAGGAAGAGAGGGGCCTGGATTTCACACGCTCCAGCGGTCAGGGATGGGGGCATTATGTTGGGCTCCGCCCCCAAACATCTCCTTTGTCCCCTGAGCTTCGCCCAAACCAAGACCCCGAATCTAAACCCCCTCCACCTCTCAGCCTGGGGTTGGACCAGACGTTTGCAAATAGCCCCTGTGTTTATAATGGGCCAAATCAAAAGCCCAGACCCAAATGCCCCTCAAGCTTTGGGATCTTGGAAGCTGGGATTCAGATGTTGTGACTTCTGTCGTCGCCCCTGAGATCTCTGCTCCTTGCTGCTGGAGGCACAGCTCTGCTTCCAGCATATTCCCCGCTGCCAAGAGTTCTCTGCTCCAGAGGGACTCCAAGAGCCGGCTTTACATTTGCTAGACCCCAAGCTTGCAGAGAAGGGTGAACCGAGTCATGAGTTGGCCCCTTTCTGGTTCCCCTGGCACAGGGGTGGGCAAACTTTTTGGCCCGAGGGCCACATCTGGATATAGAAATTGTATGGCGGGCCATGAATGCTCATGATATTGGGGTGCGGGAGTGTAGACTCTGGGGTGGGGATGAGGGGTTTGGGGTGTAGGAGGGTGCTCCAGGCCGAGACTGAGGGGTTTGGAAGTCAGGAGGGGGCTCAGGGCTGGGGGAGGGGGTTGGGATGCAGGAGAGGGTGAGGGCTCTGGCTGGGGGTGCAGGCTCTGGGGTGGGGCTGGGGATGAGGGGTTTGGGGTGCAGGAGGGTGCTCCGGGCTGGGATCAAGGGGTTTGGAGGCTGGGAGGGGGATTAGGGCTGGGGTAAGGGATTGGGCTGCGGGGAGAAGCTCAGGGGTGCAGACTCCAGGCAGTGCTTACCTCAAGCAGCTCCCGGAAGCAGCGGCATCTCCTATGCAGAGGTGCAACTAGGTGGCTCTGCTGCGCGCTGCCCGTCCGCAGGCGCTGCCCCTGCAGCTCCCATTGGCTGCGGTTCCCGGCCAATGGGAGCTGCAGGGGCAGCGCATGGGGGCAGGTGCAGTGTGCGGAGCAGCGCCTCCTGGCTGCCCCCCTACACGTAGGAGCCAGAAGGGGGACATGCCGTTGCTTCTGGGAGCCGCGCGGAGCGGCCCACAACCCTGCTGCCCAGCTTGAACGCTGGAGCGGGGCAAACCCCAGACCCTGCTCCCCAGTGGGAGCTTGAGGGCTGGATTAAAACTAAAATGGGTAGTTTGCCCACCCCTGGCCTAGCAGAAGAGGTTCTGGTGAGTGACCAGCTGTTCTGTCTCTGTCTGCTCATGCTGCTCTGTGCCTGGTTGTAGAGCTTTGAAGACAGCAAGACCCCAAGTGCTTGTACTTAGAGCTGGGCCCTGAATCAGCTCCCAAGGTGTCAGGGCAGGGGGATTTGAAGATGAGGTTTCTGAAAATCAGGAGCAGTTGAGCTGGAGAGCTGTTCATTTTGTTTGAACAGTTTGATTCATTTTATTTTTAAATTGTTGCCTTCACAATTGAGTGGCTTGGGGTGGGGAAAGAAAGGAGGTCCTGGAGTCATCAGACACTGCTAATGGTCCCACTCCCTGTCCAGGGGCAGAACCCTGGACCTCTAGATAGCTGTTTCTGCAGAGAGGGATATTGTAATGGAGGTGACAGACACCTCCCTGCCTTTTTTACCGTCCCACATTTTTGGCACCAATCTTGCTTCCATGGAAGTCAGAGTTTAAGCCATTGACTTTAGTGGGAGCAGGAACTGGTTTTGACACTGCTACAGGTAAGTACATTAGGCCTTTTTCTGATACAGATTTATGTTTATTTTTATTTTCTTTTATACTGATTTTTTGGGGGTGGCATTTTTCTACTTGATTCAGAATTATTCTGAGATCCACTGTGCCTATGTAAAGGTGCATCCCTGAAAAACAAATGTCTATTGCTACATTTATTTACATTTTACAGTCCATGGCTTTAAGTAATTTCATATATTAAGGGCCTGATCTTTCAGATCTTACTGAGGCAAAACTCTCATTGAATGGTAACGAGATCTGCAGCATCAGGCTCTCAGTATGTATTTGATGCTACAAGGTATTAGGTAATATACTAGGCTCTTGCCCATGTCATATATCAAGTATTTTGAATTCTTCCCTACAAACATTCTAATGACATAGCTAATTGAGTGAATCAATAGGGTGTTTATTGCTCATTACAGAGGCTCAAAACCTGGCTAACACCTACTCACATGGAGAGTTCTTGCTTACAGAAGGTGGTGCAATAGGGAATTCTAGCTCCACAAAATAAAATCTCTTGAACCCATTCTGCTCTCAGTTACATTAGTACAAATCTGCTGAAGTCAAGGAGACCTTAATGATGCTGCACCCGTGTGAATGAGAGAATTACAAAGCCACCTCTGACTAAGGAAATCACAGCTCTTAGTGCCTTCTGACTATTACAATTCACTATATTTATCATAGAATGATTGATTTTCTATTTGTGACAATGTGGTAACTGAATTATTCATGAGCTCAGTGTTCTACTGGGATTTAAAGAGCCCCCCGCCCCCGCTGCTAGGATTTGGTGACATGAATGTGGACAGATGAATGTGATTTCTGCAGGGACCATAATGAGCAGCGTGGTATAGCGGACTGAGCATGGGACTTTTTCCTGTTCTATTCAGATTCTTATGCCACTCCCATTATCATGGTCTCAGAGTGCCTGACTTGGGGTCAGGAGACCTGACTTCTGATTCTAGCTGTGCTGTGTGGCCTTGGGCAAATCACTTCACTTCTCTATGCCTCAGCTTTCCAATCTGTAAAACTGGGTTGATAGCACTTACCTCCCTCTCCTCACAAAGGTGTTATTAAAATTAATTAGTTGCAGTTTGTGAAGTGCTGAGTGAGCGCGTAGTTGTACTATTATCTGGGTTTTAGATACCATAATGATAGGCACCTAGGAAATAAAGTGGCTGGATAATAATATTCACTCTGTCTAAATCTTCATTCACATAAGGATATCAAGAGTGTATTGGGAACAAGCGAATGTTGTGAAAATATTAAATTATTGGACCAAAATTTTCAATCATGGCTGATGATTTGGGGGTGCTTTCCTTTCTGAATGCCCAGTTTCAGATATCTTGGGCTTGATTTTCAGACATCCTTAGCGCCTGCAGTCAACAGCAGGCACTCAGCACTGCTGAACTTCATACTCACTGTTTCCCGAGTGGGCACAAATTGGGGTAAAGAATCAGGAAATCATAATGGGCCAAATCTCAGTGCGGGAGCAAATCTGGGCCGGTTTGTTCAGCTATGGGCATTCACCGCTTGGAAAAACACTTTCCCCAAATCATGTTAGGAAATTGAACTCGTAAACAGTTCAGTAACATGGTGCCATCATATATTAAAAATTATTGGCTTTGTGGTAAGTTTAGTGCATTTGAATAATCACAAGATAATCAGAGGATTTTCTAAGTGGGAGGTAGTTTTATGGTTTTGTCAGTCCATCTATGACGCCAGTCTGTGCTCTCAGTTATGCTGATGCAGCCACACTGACTCCATTAGGGTTTGTACCAGTCTAACTAAGAGCAGAATTTGCTTTGAGGGTTTTAATTTTGTTTAACGGAGCAGGGACTCGTATTCAGCAATACACTGTGCATGAGAAGCTCTTCTGTGAAATATTTCACCCCCTTCCATCTTGCTCCCGGTGTAGAGGAAGCCCCCCCCCTTTGTAGAGGGAGACCCTTTAAAAAAGATTCGAGGTAGCTGACTTAAAATCATATAGGCAAATCCTTCAGGCCAAATGTTGAAAGGGGTCAGCTCTAGCAGGAAGCGTGGTCATTATTACAACTTTAAAAAAAAATTAAACTAAATCTTTCATTGCTATATAATTAAATAATAAAAACATGGCCCTTCTAGCTTCTTTGCACTACATTTGTTTTGGCTTGTTTACAGAAGCTAGTATAAATGTCGCATTTGTTCTCTCGGGCCTGGAAGGATTTGGTTTAAACAACGTGCACTGTGAGGTGGTAATGAAGGAGCAAATTCCTTACGTTTTTAGGTGGAAGGAAAGGACACGACAGTCTGTGCCTTTTGCTTTCTGTTCTCCTCCCCTACACAGTGGCCCATGCGAACTTTGAAAGGCATGCTTCATGCTACAACAGGGCCAGCGTGGGACTGTGCCAGATGAGGAAGCCACACAAAAACCTCACCCCCTTCCGCTACTGGGGAAAGGTTCACCCCTGTTCCTCCCTCTGGGGAGCAAGACACCAGAGGGAGCAGGGAGGAGGCAGGATTCTGGCTTAGCCTTACCTTCTACACCAGTCCTTGTAGCTGGCGCAGCAGAGGAGCTATATGCTCCAGGCTTGTGATCCCTTGTGCACGCAAAGAAGTCCTACAGTCGAGCGTGGTTGCTTGAGAAATAACCTCCCTGCCGCTCATTCTGGAATCGTAGCTCCCCCTCTACACAGGGCTGTGGTGTAGACGCTGCAATCGAGCTCACAATGTTCTTCAGTAAAGAGAACTCTGAGCCAAGGCTGCTCCCCTTACATGAGCAATTCCATTAACTCCTCTGTGGAAAAGGACCTTGGCAGATATGTGTGGACAGACCCTTGTGCCTGTGTGCAGCCCCACTGGAGTCAGTGAAGCTCTGCGCAGACACAAGGGTCTGACCTTGCAGACCTGATTGCAACACCGGGGGCTAGGTGAGCGGTATGTGGCCCCAAACTAGCTACTGCACGGAGAAGTGAGTATTGAATCCTCCTTCACCAGTAGGCATGAAAGCCAGGCAGGAAGTGGGAACAAAACTCAGGAACATTTAGCATCCCTTCACCCAGGCAACAAGGCCATTGCCGGGGGCCTGTAAATCCGGCACATCTCAAGTGCTACTCCCCTTGGGGATTTCAACAGGTGTATCTCATTTTTAGTTGTCCTTCACTGAAAAGGAATGCAGCATGATTACAATTTTGGTGTGGCATAATTACCCTGCGTTTCTCACCTCATTACATCTGACATGGCTGTGTTCATTTACAGGTTTATAGACTGACTGGTCTTGCCACCGTGGTTTTATGAAATTGCTGTCAAGATGTGAGGTGTTTGTCGGTT